GATGGGAAAATGCGAAAGAACTGCGTTTTAAGTTAACAAAATATTTTTAAAGAATGGCAGAAAAGGGAACCAAAGGTGAAGACTAAACTACTCCAAAATGCGAACAAGCAAAGAGGCCTTAGGTTACCAGCTATGAATTTTTTTGAATGATGTTTAGAGTAGTTAAAAGAATGAATGTTATTGGGGAATAAGAGATTTTTGAAGTAGAAAGCTCATGAAATGAAGCTTGAATGGCATTGATATTTTGAGTATAAGATTTATGGTAAATGTAGATTTTAATAATCATGTGATATGTATTTTAATGAAAATATGGACAAGATTCAAAGCCAGATTGTGCGAAAAATGGTTTCAACAGAAGAAGCTTTTTTTCTAGAAAAGAAACAACAGGCAGAGAAAAAACAATTAAGGTATCAAGATATACTGAAGGATTTTACAATACAACTATAAAAGAATGGTTGTTGCGGGAAAGTTATAAATTCCAGTTTTCTTTTATATATAGTTATTTGAAAGATTTATATTAGGTAAATAAAAGATTTAAATTAAAGAATCCATGGTTTTGCACTGATAAAGTCTGAGTTTCGCGTTCAAATTATGTATGAATGACAATCAATGGCAAAAAGTTGGTTTGTTTGAATTGTATGTCTTATGCAATGTTTATTTTATGTAGAATTTTTCAGTAAATATTATTTTTACCAAATTTGCTGAATACTGGGGCCACAGTTGGCGCAATGGGTTAAAACCTTGTGCTGCTGAATTGCTGACCAGAAGGTTGGCAGTTCAAAGCCGTGGGTCGGAGCGAGCTCTTACTGTTAGTCCTAGTTCCTGCCAACCTAGCAGTTTGAAAACATGCAAGTGTGAATTGATCAATAGGTACAGCTTTGGCAGGAAGGTAATAAGGGCATCCATGCAGCCATAGTGGCCACATAATCTAGGACGTGTCTATGGACAACAGGCTCCTCAGCTTGGAAATGGAAAAAGAAGCCAGAGATGAAAGGGGAAGCTTTTACCTTTTACTATGTTATTTGTCTATTATTGTTATTCCACTGTATGAAAGGCATTGAATGTTTGCCTATCTGTGTATGTTGTAATCTGCTCTGAGTCCCCTTGGGGAGATAAAGTGGAATATAAATAAAGTGTTGTTATTGTTGTTGGCACGAAGAAATAAGAAATGTGATACTCAACCAAAACCTTTTGCCTGAAACTTCTGCTATTATGGTACATTTGGCTAATATAGTTCTTGCTGGTTCCACAAAGACTGAGATACTTTCCTCAACCACAAAAAGATGTTCATTTGGCACTGAGGCCATTACACAGTGAAGCAAAATACTCTGCCTTCCAACAGGTTTGATGTGTTTACAACTTTTCAGCATTGAGGAACTTCATTTTATACATATGCCAGAGAGCCTGGGGACACTCTCCCTTCTCCTGAGGTGCAGTCAATCCCAGGGCTTTAGATCCCAGATATAGATAGATTTTTCTGACTGTGTGGGAATGACAGCCCAGGGCTGGCCAGTTCCCTGCCAGCAAATCCTCTGCCTAATAGGATAAAGTCCAATGTTTTGACAGCCATCCAAGCCTTCAGCCAGTCAGGGTGCAATGTGGCGATTAGAGTCCACCTCCCCACTTCTTACTGCTGGCTCCATCTGTCTGGACTCCCATCTGTGGAAAAGGAACACAAAAGGAACAAGGCCAGGTGGCTGGGGAAGAGCCATGTGCCTGACTTTAACCTGTCTCCCATCTGTTCACCTTGGCCATTCATTTAATAATCCTTTAGGAATGTAGAAAAATCCATTTGTGCTTTTACTCTTCTTTCTCTTGTTTATTCTCTGTGTGTAAGATTATGCGTTGTGTTTTGAAGTATACAAAACAAGATCTCATGGAGATAATGGAGAAAAAAACAGCCCACTAAGGGGAACTGACTAAGTCTACAGATGCACTCCATATTCATTGTTTTGATACCATTGTAGAACTACTCACATGCATCAAATCTGGTATAAGATGCTTTCAGGGAGATATGAAAGGAACGACAGCCTAGTAACTGGATATATGCTTTGCAAACATCTTTCTCTGTTCAAGAGCAGTGCTTCTCAAGTTGATGGGGAAGTCCAGGAAACATTATTTTTTAAAAAATGTTATAGATATTATATGACTTGCCTCCTGAAACAGCTTCACTGATTGCCTATTTGCTCCCGGGCCCAATTCAAAGTACTGGTTATTACCTATAAAGCTCTGCACAGCTCTGGTCCTACCTATTTACGCAGTTGCATCACCCCATATAAACCTGTTCGGCCTTACAATCAGCTGGGGAGGCCCTCCTCTTGGTCCCACCTCCTTCGCAAGCAAGGTTGGCGGGGATGAGAGAGAGAGAACATTCTCAGTGGTGGCCCCACGACTCTGGAGCGACCTCCCCAGGGAAATTAGAAAGGCATCCACCCTCATGGCATTCAGGAGGCACTTGAAGACCTCGCTATTTAAACAGGCTTTTGACAGTTATTTGTCAACCTTTAGGATATAGATTTATGGGACCAAGCCCCTTTTAGCTCATAGGAACAACTGTGTTTTAATCTAATGCTCATAATTTTACTTTTAATTTTTGCTATTTAATTGTGCTGTATTTTGTGTTTTATATCTACTGATATGTTGTTTATTTTATTTTCTGCATTTTATTATATTGCAGTTATTATATTATTCATGTTGTAAGCTGCCCTGAGTCCCCTGGGGAGATGGGGTGGCATATAAATAATAATAATAATAATAATAATAATAATAATAATAATAATAATGTGCCAGGGACCAGCACACAAATATGGTGTTGGGAAAAATACTTCCAAGACTTCCCTTTCAGATGGACCAAGAAACACTGCAAAGTATATACCAGTTTTCTCTGATGTGAATTCCTCAATTGGCTTGCTTCCTTCCTTCCTTCCTTCCTTCCTTCCTTCCTTCCTTCCTTCCTTCCTTCCTTCCCTCCTTCCTTCCTTTACCAGAGGACCAGCAATCAATGGCTCAAAGACTGGCATCAGCCCAGGGACCACCACCTTGAGTAGCACTATTTAAAAGACATCTATTCCCCTTTACAGCCTGACTTGTATACCACTGTCATGCAAGTCTCTGCCAGCTTGATGGGAGATCACCTGCCTGTCTGGCAGTGAGAAACCTTCTAGCTCCCTCTCCCTTGAATTGTCCTCATTATATTTGCCATGCCATGTCTCTCCCCCTTCAACATTATGCTAATTATCACTGCACATGAGACTACCCTATGTTGTTATCTAACATTTTATTCTTTGCTACCTGAGGCTATGCTTACTTTTGAAGACCTACAAGATATGATCCTGCAGGCGCCAGGCTGTTCCACAGGGTTTTCAGTGAGCTGTTATTCTCTTGCCTTGCAATGATCGGATTCTAAGGGGAAATTCATGTCGGCTGAAGAACTCATGACCAGTACATAGCCACACATCATGACATGTGAATAACTGTATATCATTTTTGCTCATACCTATTTATTGAAAAGGCCAACACTTAAACAGAATTCCTGATCTGGTGGCGTTTTGTGCCATCATCTGCTTCAACTTATGGCAGCCTTATAAAAGGGAGACTTCTTGAAGAGACCCTCTTATTACCATTCCAGCTCAAATCTTGCAAACTCGGGGCCTTGGCTTCCTTCCTTGATTCAATCCACTTGTAAATACATTTTCATCTTTTCCCACTACTCTCATTTTTTCACAACGTTTTCATCATCTTCAGTTACTCATGTTGTTTAATATTATGCTCAAAGTACAACAGCCTCATTCTAAGCATCTCCTTTGCGCAGAACAGTACATCCTCTAAGCCTCCTATATTATAATCCTATTATTATATTATATTATATATTATACTATATTATAATTCAATTATATTGTAATTCAGTTTACATTAAATATTTTTCATTTTTATAATGCTGGAATAGTTTGATATTTGCTTTAAGATTTTAATAATGATGTCCCTTGTTGGCACAGTGAGTTAAAGTGCTGAACTTGCTGACTGAAGGGTTGGCAGTTCGAAGCTGGGAAGCAGGGTGAGCTCCCGCTGTTAGGCCCAGCTTCTACCAACCTAGCAGTTCAAAAACATGCAAATGTGAGTAGATCAATAGGTACTGCTTTTGCTGGAAGGTAACGGTGCTCCATGCAGTTATGCCAGCCACATGACTTAGGAGGCGTCCATGGACAATCCTGGCTCTTTGGCTTAGAAATGGAGATGAGCACCACTCCCCAGAGTTGGACATGACTAAACGTAATGTCGGGGGAGACCTTTACCTTTACATTTACCATAATGATAATACCATAATGAAAAGCTTTATGAGAACTACCACCCCTCTTGGAGTCCCCCCAGCAACAGCAAGGGTATCCCTCCGGGCACCTAAACCAGGAAATCCCAACTGGATGGTCCCCTTCCTCCAGGGGCAAACCAAGAACAGGCAACTTGGAAGTCCCTGAACAGACTTGGGAGTGGACTGGGCAGATCAAAAGACAACCTGGCAAAATGGCACTACCTAAAAGAATCCCATACCTTGTGTGATTTGTGATTGTCCATTATGCCCTGCCTCATATACAGAGGAAGAATTGTTGGAAGCTACAGACAATGCCATTGCTGTTGCCCGTTTTTGGTCAAAAGATATTTAGCCGCCAGCGCTCCTTCTTTTTTTATCAGTGTTATACTAATTTATACAAAATAAAAACCATAATTATGACATAAATAAGTTATGGATTTGGTGGGACATGGCTTCCAATTTTTTTTTATACCTTTTCAAACAGCAAGCTATTGCTTCAAGTTTATCTTCAGGGAGAAGTGAGGTATATACTTTTCAAATCATTAATCTAATCTTAAAACTATTCCACACAGATTACATTTTCTTCCTAGCTTTCCCACATCTGTTGCTAAATAACTAGAAAAGAGGAGGATATGGAAGTAGCTGGGCCACAGAGCTGGAGTATAATGTAAGACAACTGATCAACAAACACAGCATAATTACAAATCAGATTTATTTAATCAGAAATTATTGATTATGACAAACAGCCAATCCGTCAGCCAGAATTTACCTGAAATTGAGGCAACGTCTACATGGCTGATTTAATTTATTTTTCTTCATCAGCTTCCTTCTTGAAAGTCTGGACCTGCTTTGCTAACCCAGCAACCCCTTTCATCATACCTAGAATGGAATGATTCAAGTATGGAACATAACAGAATTCTTCTCCCTCAGTAACTTAACTGGTCCCCGAATACATACAAAATTATGCTATTATTACCTTCATTTTTAACAACCATGAACAAACAGTATTGTAACACCTCCCATTAACCATTTCTTAAATTTGAAAATTAATATATAAAATTAATATCTAATTTAACCACATAAGCCAATAAGAGTTGACCATGGAAAAGAAATGTTTCCTAAAATGATAGCTGTCCATTTTTGGAGAGGCCAGCCTTTAAGAAGAAAAAGAGCATTTAACATATACACATTGCTGACAGATGCTCAGTAACCCAGATAGGAACTAAAAATTTTGTTGTGCACCCTAAAATTGGCTCATCACAAAGCAGGCATTGAAACTGCAAGGCACTGAAGCTGCAAGGTCATTAAATGTTAATCAAGGTGGCCCTTTGCAACATTCACACCTGCCTCAAGCAGACGAGAATTCGTTCTCCCACCCTGGACAGTCCAGATATATAAACCTCTCTTGCCTAGTTTCCAACAGATCCCTCAACCTCTGAGGATGCCTGCTATAGATATGAGCAAAACATCAGGAGAGAATGCTTCTGGAACATGGCTATATAACCTGGAAAACTCACAGCAACACAAAGTAGTAGTTGATTATCACTGTAAGAAAACCAGCCGTTTTCCCACTCTAAAGCAGCAAGAAAGAGGCACTGACACAGAGAAGTATGTGCAGCAGGGGGCAATGAAATGGCAGGAGGTTCTTTAAGCGAGATAGGAATGCCTGAGCAGAGATCCCAAGAACAAAAATAGCCAAGATTTCTGCAGCTCACTGTGGATTGGCTTTGAAAGACTTTGGATGTGAATAGACAGGTTTCCCCATCTTTACATCTGTCTCAGCCACCCAGCTATTGACTTTTATGCTCATTTAAATAAAAAATAGGTGGCTATATCAAAGCCATGAGTGATGGGAATAAGAAAGAAGTAGATCCATTCCAGATCATAACTAGCAAAATGGCAACTCGGGTCCCAATACACGAGTTCTAACATCTTTTTATGTAAAATGCAAATTCAATGTGATCCAATGCATCTTACAATCAGAACATGGAAAGGCAAAGAGACATGGTGACTATGTAAATAATGAACATAAGCTGTGTTCTGGATGCAGGAGCATTTTGAAGTTGTCAGGCACTTCCAAAGGTCCTGCTTCAGTTGCTAACAGAACTGTAGAAAAAGATCCTAATAATCAGGAAGCATACACCGGAGAGACGGGTGAGAAAATCATTGATCGTGGTCAGTTGCAAAACCGGTTCAGGCATCACTCTATGCTCTTCAGGAAATCCAAAAGACCAAGGTGCCACTCGTCTGGTTTGTCAAGGTAGCAGGCATGGCCAGCCCCTTTCATCAGCATCACTTTGTGATTAGGTAAATTCTTCAAATTGTTCAGGCTCACTTCACCCAGTTGAGCATCCTGGTCTCCATAAACAATGAGCGTTGGTACCTAAGTACAGGAAAGAACAAGCATCAAGTGTGGTCAGATCAACAGATGAAAAATTCTGCTCTTCTTTTGGTTGTTTTCAATTAAAAAATAACTCAAGGGAAAGACATTTACAAGCTTCCCCCATGTACTCAGTGTACCATGTACCCAGCCTAATATCTAACCAAGTAATCTGTATTCTCTCATAATAAGTCTTATTCAAAAAGTATGTAAATAATACCGATGTTACCTCCCTGCACTTATGCTAGAAATTTATTTACCTGGATTTCACTATCTGAGAGATGATGTCTCCCTATGTGAGCTAGCTTGAGCTTGAAGATCCTTGGGAAGGGCTTTCTCTTAGTCCTATCATAGATTGATGCAGACACAGGAGAAAGCCTTGTTGGTGGCTGCTCCTTGACTGTAGAATTCCCTCCTACAGGCGTCTCAGTTGGCCTCTCTTTGCTCTCAAGCAGGCAAAGATCTTTTTATTCACCTTTTTGTTTACCCTTTGATTATTAGCTGTTAGATGAAGATGTCTAAGGTCTAATAAGGGGGTGCTGTGGTTTTTAACTGTTTTGATGGATTTTAATTGTGATTTTTAAAATGCCTCTTGTTTTTAATTCTATTTCAGTGTTTGCATTTTTGTATGTGTTAAATTGTATGTAGTTGCCCCTCGGCTCTGGAACTCGCTCCCCAGGGAGATTACACAGGCAACCACCCTGGCAGCCTTTAGAAAAAGTTTAAAAACCTGGCTTTTCTGGTGTGCTTTTGGGGACTGAACAATTAATCTCCATGCCATGTCCGGTCCCAGGTCCAACTTGTCTCTCTGATGTTATCCATCTTATCCCTCAATTGAAGATTAAGTCTACTTCTATTCCGTCCAAGCCCCCAACAAATCATAGCACTTTCTACCTATCTCATCCATGGGTTCCATCAAATTTTATCCATTTTTATCTATAGGCCTCACTCTCTTTGTCTGTGTCTATTACCATTTTATCATTTCTTTTTTATTATGATTTTGTTATTTTCATTTCATTACTATGTTTATTAAGTACTTTATTTGATGTTATTGTTTTGTTTATAGGTACTTTTATTTTATTGTTTGGGCTTGAACCCTGTTCAACCCGAGTCTCTTTGGGGAGGTGGTAGCAGGGTATAAATAAAGTTTATTATTATTTTTTATTATTGTATATTAATGCTTTTATGTCAAGCTGCTTTGAGTCCCCTTTGGGGAGTTAAAGCAGGGTATAAATAAATATAATAAGAATAAATAAATAGTTGCAGAAGGTCTTTTAACGGAGGTGTACTATATTGGTGTCATTATATTCTATATTATCTAATAATGATAATGATAATAATAATAAATAAAAATAAAAATAAAGATCAAACTGCAAAGACTCTGGCACAAGCCAGTAAAGGTGGCCCCAGTGTTGATCGGCACACTGGGTGCAGTGCCTAAAGACCTTGTCCTGCACTTAAACACAATCGCTGCTGACAAGATTACCATCTGCCAGCTGCAAAAGGCCACCTAACTGGGATCTGCACACATTATTCGCCAATACAGCACACAGTCCTAGACACATGAGGAAGTGTCCGACGTGTGATCCAATACAACAGCAAGCAGAGTGATCTTGTTTGCTGTGGATTCATCTTGTTGTGTTTCAAATAATAATAATAATAATAATAATAATAATAATAATAATAATAACTACTTTATTTTTGTACCCGCCTCCATCTCCCCAAAAGAGACTCGGGGTGGTTTACATGGTGACGATCCCAAACAGCATAATTAAAATATAGCACATTAAAATATATAATGACAACATAAAACAATAAAACAACAGCAATATAACAAAAATATAAAAAATATCTACTGTTTTAATTGCAATTTATTTTAACTTGGGAGAATACTGTAATAGATGCAGTGGTTTAAGTATTGGGCCACAACGCTGGAGACCAGAGTTCAATTCCCTGTTCAACCATCGAATCCACTGGGCGACTCTGGACAAATCCCACATTCTCAGCTCCAGAAAACCCCATGATAGCATAAGTCAGAAACAACTGGAAGGCACACCACAACATATATAAATTAAACATTAGAGATTGTTGGTCAGCCTCTGCACTTATCTAGGCACTAGCATAAAAAAGACACATATGATAGGTAACCATTACATTTCAAACTCCTTGAGTCCACATGTAAACAGCTCCTACTCTGGCATTCCTTTTGTCTGTATTCCAGCCACAGGAAAGTGGGAAGGGGTTGCAGTGGCTGCCCCTTACATGTTTACTACAATTAATTAATTAAACGGAAATAAAAACCTTCTACCAAGAACTTGGCAAAAAAGCCAGATGCAATATAATTTGCCCATGTGTAGGGTTACTCTACAATCTTACTGACTACACAAAATTTACACGTGTTCAATAAGACTTATCCTGGATGTCTGCAAAAGGATTATTTCTGCCTGGTTCACTTTAAGTCACTCATCAAGCCAAACAAAGAGAGCAGGAAGCTAATAGACACTGCTTGCTCTCTGTATCTTACAGTTGATTGCTCAGGGCTTAACCCACTGTTAAGGCTCTAAATATATCCAATTACTGTGAGCAGAAGAATGATCCTTTCCTGGTCAGAATAAAAGTGAAAATAAATGGCAAGAAAAGCAAAGCTACATTTGCAGAGACTCGGATCTCTGTGGCTGATCTGTTCAAGATGGACCGAAGGACAGGAAATTCCCCACAAGGTATTGTCTTCATGTCACCATTGCTAAACACAATCAAAAACTTGTAGGCTCATCGTGCAAGGCACATACTGCAGGCTAAAACCCAAACCCCGGTAAGAGTAAAGTCAAATGTTCTGCATTTGCAAAGGACATTACAAAGCAGCATCTTAGGGGGTGCTCAGCTATTAGTCTCACCCATCTGCTTCTAAAGCTGTCATTTATTTTGACCAAAAAATTAGGGTTGAAGAGAAGTTTGACATAACAAATCTCTATTTTGGATTCAAGGGAGTAATGTGGAGATAAAGAGAAAGAAATTCCTGCATCTCGGTATTCACAAGTCTTAGAACATTCTTTTCAAGTCTATAGATAGCCAGTAGAAAAGAGAAACAATACACAAGACTTCTCTGTTTGTTTGTGTCAGGAGACAGAACAATATAGGCTTGTTTTGCCTTGTAGGCATGTGTTGTGTGCCTTCAAGTCATTTCTGTCTTTAGAGCCAGTGTGATGTAGTGGTTTGAGCATTAGACACTGGAGACTAATGTTCAAACCGGAAACCCACTGTGTGATCTTGCGCAAGTCACTTTTTCTCAGCCTCAGTGGAAAGCAAAGAACCAATTCCTTCTAAACAAATTTTGTCAAAAAACTTCATAATAGATTTGTCTTGTTATTACAATGGTGGAATCATAAATTTGGAAGACACCATAAGAGGCAACCGATAAAACTCCCTGCTATGCAGGAACACACAATGAAAACACTCTTAACAGATGGTCATCCAGTCTCTCATTTAAAACCTCCAGGAAGCAAGACTCCACCACACTCTGAGGTAGCATATTCCACTGCCAAATAGCTCTTACCATCAGAAAATTCTGACTAATATTTAGGTGGAATCTCTTCCCTTGCAGTTTGAGCTCTTTTCCAGTTTCTGGAGCAGGAGAAAACTAGCTTGCTTCACGTTCATTATGACTTCCTTTCAAATATTTCAACATGGCTATCATGTAAGCTCTTAACCTTCCATTCTCCAGGCTAAATATATCCAGCTTCCTAAGCCACTCCTCATAAGGCATTGCTTCTAGACATTTTGGTTGACCTCCTCTGGACATGATCAATATCCTTCTTGAACTGTGGTGCCCAGAATTTGAAACAGTTTTCCATTTAAGGTACTACTATTCCTCTCAGTCTAAGTACTATACTCTTGTTGATGCAGCCTGGAATTACATTGGCTTTTTCAGCTGCTGTGTCATGTTCAGCTTTTGGTTTACCCAGACTCCTAAATCCCTTTCACATGTACTGCTCTCAAGCCATATATCTCTGCATTTCATTTTTGTTTAAGCTTTATATGTCTCCCTTTATAAAGATGTTGAATAGCACTGGGCCCAGGATGGACCCCTGCAGCACCCCATTGGTCACTTCCCTCAAGGATGAAAAGGAACCATTCATGCGCATGCTTTGTGTCTTCATTCTGGCGAGAAATGACTCTAGGATGCTTCTGTCCTGGGCTGTGATACTAAACACATTTATAAACAACTTGGATGATGGAATAGAAGGAATGTTTATCAAATTTGCAAATGACACCAAATTATGGTGGGTAACTAACACCCCATAATTCAAATTTGCCTGAAAAAAAATTACACAGCTGGGTGAAAACTAACAAAAAGACTTTCCACAAGGAGAAATTGTTGGGCATATTTGAGTTATTTACGAGTTATGGTGATGCTATAAGTTTTTATGGCAAGATTTATTCACTGTGTTTGCCTTCTTCTGAGGTTGAGAGAACTTGATTTGCCCAATGTCATTCAGTGGGTTTCCATGGTTGAATGGGGATTTGAACCCTGGTCTCCATAATCTGCATTCCAACCTCAAAATCACTACACAGTGTTGGCTCTCCTTTGCCTTCTGTTGTAGCAAACAATGTGGCAGTGACCTGATGCTCTCTAGTGGTCAATTCGGAAACTATTCCTCACTTTACAACTATTCCAGGCTTGTTGAACACAGTCACTGATATCCTGCCTTCTCGGTTTTTCTCACACAATTCTGCAATCCCAGCTGTATCTCTCAATTATCTCCCAATTCTGCTCATTACCCTTTGTTGAAATACAATCTCTGCCCTGGCATTCACCCCAGAACGTCCCCCACCCTCCAGCTACAGATGCCAGGCTGACATACTTTGACTCCAGCATATCGTGTGGCTGGGAATTTATCTGTGCAGATGGGTGCCACAGGAACATAGGCCTTGAACAGATCGCTGTGTTGGAAGAGAAATGGAAGCGAATACATCCCGCTGAGAGAGGGACTGATCACCACGGCCTGGCCAAGCTGCAGAGCCTCAAAGATGGACTTCAAGAAGCTACCTGGGGCTGGCTCCCCAACAGGCGCTGGAGCAGTAGCCTCTTTGGAACGACCTAGTCCTGAATGGCAAGACATATAAAACACCTCATGTTACATCTAGCTCTGCATAGGGTCTCAATGATATCCTATAGCTACAGTATCAAGTTTTGCCAGTTGTAAGTAGGAAACATTAGAGAGAAACCAAGTGAAACAGGATACAAAACATTAAATATTTTGGCATAAGCAAACATCTGAATTCTTCTGACTCCGGAAAAGCTGTTTTATTATGTACTATCTCAGATCAAGAAAAATGTCTCAATGTCTACCATCCCTGTTTATGACATGGAGGCATTTTCTTCCTATATGTTGACACTGAAGCAAAGTTTCCCAATGAAACTGTTGGTGAGAGATTCAGAACAGATAAAAGAAAATGATTCTTTGCACCAGATTTTGATAGTAGAATATATATGAGCATTAACTTGAATAGCTTTTAAAGGGAAATAGCCAAATTCATGGAGGGTAAAGCTATCAATGACTACCAGCCATGTTGGTTAGTATTACCAGCAGAAGCAGTATATTCCAAACACCATTTGCTGGGAAGAGGTGACACTGTGTTCAAGTTTAACCTGTGGGCTTCCCAGAAGTATCCGGTTAACCATTATAGGAAGACAATGCTTTTATGATCCTCCTTTCTGGTTAACAGGACTCTTCTTACATTAAATATTATTGATCAGATTATGATTAGGGAAGGCACATTCAAATGCTGACCTGGTAAAATTAGTTTTCAGCCTGGTCAGCATTTGGATAGGAGACTGTCTCTGAGGGTTCATCTACACCAGTGATTCTCAACCTGTGGGTTTCAAGATGTTTTGGCTTCAACTCCCAGAAATCCTAACTGCTGGGAAACTGGCTGGGATTTCTGAGAGTGGTAGGCCAAAACACCTGGGGACCCACAGGTTGAGAACCACTGATGTAAACTGTAGAATTAATGCAGTTTTACTGCTATGACTCACTGTCATCGCGCCACTGGAGCCCCTGGTGGTGCATTAAGTCAAAGCCCTGTGCCGGCAGGACTGTTGACCGAAAGGTCAGTGGTTTGAATCCAGGGGTAGGATGAGATCCCATCTGTCAGCTCCAGCTTCTCATGCAGGGACATGAGAAAAGCCTCCCACAGGATGGCAAGGCATCCGGACGTCCCTTGGGCAATGTCCTTGCAGACAGTCAATTCTCTCACACCAGAAGTGACTTGCAGTTTCTCAAGTCATTTCTGATACAAAACAAATGGGGCTGGCGCTTCACCAAACTACATATCCAAGGATCCCATAGCACTGAGTCAAGACAGTTGAAGCAATGTCAAACTGTAGGTGCATCCCGGATCTCCTGTTGACATGACTGAACAACTAGTTTTAATTCTATACTGTATGCCTTTCATGAGTCTTTTCATGAATGAAAGGGGCTTATTACAATGTATAAATGATGTTATTTCTGATTCCTGAAGAGCAGACACTTATAACTAGATCAATTGCTGAGGAGCATGAGTATTCTTATCCTACTATTGATCTTCTGTTTGCCTATTGCGACAAGTCACAATAAGCCTTCAGTTTGATCCAGTTCGGGGGGGGAGGGGGGGTCGATGTTACACTTGCGCTTAGATCTTGTTTCCCACCACAGCACCTGCCTATAATCTTCACCCTACTTTCCTCACCCACAGAGACTCTAACATACCAGGCAGGTCAATAGCTACAGCCCGATATCCAGCTTCCGCCAACTTAGAGAGAGTTTGGAGGTTCAGCCAAGTCTCTGATGAAAAACGAATGCCATGTAGCAGCAAGATGGAAAGTCGGGGAGCCTGCTGCGCCGGTGTGGCCTGTCGGTAGAACAGGGTCTGCCCACCCACTGTGATGGTACTCTCAGTCATTTGTGTGGCAGCCATTGCTGATGGTTTGTGGCTTCCAGGACACCTATAGGTATAAGGGACAAAGAAAATAAAAATAAATAACAAGAGAAACATTGTAGACCCCACCTGCCCAGTGCTTCTAGTCTATCTGATGTGGAAAACGAGTAATTATTTTATCCAGCAGCCCAACGGTAAATACTGTATTTGTGCCTATTGGGTCCAACTATTTCTTTCCTTAAAATTTGTCAGGGATCAGCAACCAATGGCTCCCAATTCATCACTGGCCCAGAGATCACTGCTTTGAATATCATGCCATGAGCTTGGAATGCTACTTCTGGCTTGTAGGGCCATTTCTTCATTTTATATTTTGTGCTCAAGTATGGGTGCCCAAATGTAAAATCTCACACTTCACATTCCAGGTTTTCCTTTCCAAAGCAGGATGTAAAAAGGGGTTGCTCCTCCAGTCTGGAGAATTTTGAAGGCCCACACTACACATTTCATGTGCACACTCTTTTGCACACTTGAAAACCAACATATTGCTGCATGTGGGTAAATTGAGGTGGTGAAGTTGAGCCAGGGTTCACAAGGCGAAGCACTAGGACTTCTTGAATAGCAAGGATTATGATGTCTTCTACCACCCACCCTAGGTTTCCATGTTCTTTCTGACTTTAACTGGGATCCTAATATAAACTGGAAGAAAAGAGAGCATGAATTGAATTTTTCCAGCTGTAATACATTAATATCTGCTATCCATGTTGTACTGCAATGTATTTTAAGATGGCTTGTTCTATACTGGACAATTAAGAAGCAGGATTTTCTTTTACAAGGCAGATGGCAGAAATGAGAATTTATTTATTACTATGAATTACTCTAAGTGCTTGTGTCTGATTCTTTCCATGGGAGAAAAATGCTGTGAAGAATGCCCGCTCTTCAAAATTCATCTCTGCACCACTAGTTGGCTATATTTGAGTATAATAATAGAAAGTAAGAACTGGCCTACGGAAGGAGGACAGTGTGGAGTCTTGCCTAATCTCTCCGGGGAGGGTGCGCCAAAGTCGGGAGGCCATCATCAAGAAGGCCCTCTCCCTCATCCCCACCAACCGTGCTTGTGATGGTGGTGAAAGTAAGAGGAGGACCTCCCTAGCGGCTCTTAGAGCCCGTGCCGGTTCATAGGGGGAGATGCGATCACAAAGATAGGTGTGGCTCGAACCATTTAGGGCTTTGTAGGTCCCTAACCCTAACCTACACCATGAACTGGAACCGGAAACTTATCAGCATCCAGAGTAGCTGCTTTAATAGGGACATTGTGGGCTCCCTATAATGAAAAATAGCTCCTAAAATAGCTCCAGTTAGAAGCCTGGCTGCCAACCTAATTGAGGTTTCTGGGCCATCTTCAAAGGCAGCCCCACATGGAGTGTATTACAGTAATCCGGTCTGGATGTAACCAAGGCATGGACTACCGTGGCCAAGTCAGGCTTCTCGGAGTACGATTGTAGCAGGCACACAAGCTTTAATTGTGCAAAGGCCCTCCCGGCCACGGGTGACATCTGAGCATCAAGTGTCAGCGCTGAGTCCAGGACAACCCCCAGACTGTGGACCTGTGTCCTCAGGGGAAGTGTAACACCGTCAAGTACAGGTAACCATCTCGAACGGCCTTGAAAATGACCAGAAGGAACTCAGTCTTATCTGGATTAAGCTTCAGTTTCTTGGCCCTCATCTAGTCCATCACAGCTGTCAAGCAGGATCCGGGGGGGGGGGGGGGTGTTCCTTTGAATTAGGTGGAAAGAAGTAGTAGAGTTGAGTGTCATCCGTGTAGAGATGGCACGGAACTCCAAAACTTTGGATGACCTCACCCAGGAGTTTCATGTAGATCAGTGGTTCTCAACCTGTGGGTCCCCAGGTGTTTTGGTCTACAGCTCCCTGAAATCCCAGCCAGTTTACCAGCGTTAGGATTTCTGGGAGCTGGAGGCCAAAACATCTGGGGACCCACAGGTTGAGAATCACTGCATTAGGGAAATGCTGGGATAGTCTTGAGTCACTTGGCATTAGAAAGAGAGAATTCAAAAGAATTCCAGCTTTATCAGAAAGAGTCCATTTATAACAAGGTAACATTCACTTCATCTCTTTTCTGTACTGGTGAGAGGTTTGCAGGGAAGGAGGAAGTACAGAACCTTTGAGCCATATACAATAAACAGTCAGGTTTCTTTGTCATCAACTGAAGTGCCCTCCCCATGTTTCTACCCTCTCTACTCCCCACACAGGACTTTGTACCTTAGAGGGGGTGGGGTGGCCAAGATGGTGAGAATTCACACTGTAATGTCTATGGTCAATGGGGGAATTTCTGAGCCCCTGGCAGTTCTCCCTTATGGATAGCTTTTTGGGGACTGCATGCCAGTAATGAGTACAACCTTGCACTCCCTGATTCCACCATTAAACACACAGACCTATATATATATATCCACACATTACATAATACACACAAACCCACACCTAGGGACTACAGGCGAGGCACAACAGTGCCCCACACTGTTTGGAAAGCTCTGCAGAAGAATCTCACATACGCCCATGTGAGGGGTGTGGGGCAAAATGAAGGCACTGTCCCCTCTCCCCAATTATTTTTTTCTTCCATCCCCAAATTTCTAACATTGCAGTAATTTAAGGTTTCAGATGAACATTTAAAAATGCTGTTTAGGTATCTTACTTCAAGGAGTGGGAAATGTGAACACAGCAAATATAAGAGTTTTGAATGTGAATTATTTTCAGAATCCCACTCTCTGCCATGTTAGAAATTTGAGGGCGGAAGGAACATTTCATCTGGTGGGGCTGAATTCATATCTGAGAGGAATGCCCTCATTTTGCCTCCCACCACAAACCATACACCCTTTTGTACTCAGAGAGGAATTCAGCCTGCAGAAAAACCCCTCCCATTGAAGTCAGTGAGTCTTGTGGATCATGAAACAGTGACACAGTGCTGGGTGAAAGCACACTGTTGACATTTCTTTAAAATTCCACAAGTCTCTCCTACTTATCAGATCCTGGAAGGGAAGATGGTAAACTGAATTTCAGAGCATACTGGAAAATGTCCAGGGGCAAAAGTATGATAGCTGGGACTCAATGTTGGTTGCGCAACGCAGGTCAGAATTAGAAAAGCGAAGACGTGTGCGAGGCAGTGCTAAGTTTATAGCACGCTTCATCCACATGCAATTAAGTTTGAGTGATAGTGAAGAATGGTTAAAAAAGGCAGTTAGCAATAGTTAAGTTTATACTATGCACCAGTGTCTCTCACTCGCTGTGTAAGTGTAATTCTGACCCGCATTGTGCAACCAGCATTGGGTCCCAGCTATCACACTTTCGCCTGACCAGGTTTGAAGAGGATGAGAAAAGAAAATGTGAAATCAGGACTCCTTAATGTCACCATTCTCATGGGGGTGACCAGCTAACAAATCACAGTGTCTGCATGGTGGAAGGGAGAGGCATTTGCTGTGTTCCTCCACCCTGGAAGGCCCATTGCTACAAGAGATGATCTACATGTTTGAAATGGGCTGTCAATAGATCACTTACACACAGTATTTTCTGCAGGGAAAGTTACCAAGAGGATGTGAACATACTGAATATGACTTCTGGGTGCAAAGGATTTTCAATGATTCACTCTGTGCCACATTAGCAATTTGGGGACTAAAGGGAAATTTCACTTTGTGGGGCAGAAATCATATATGGGGAGGAACCCCCCTCCACCAACCCCCCCTCCCCAAACTATAGCTGCATCCCTCTATAGCAGAGTTTTCCTTAAATTTCATGTTGGTGACACACCATTTTAGACTCAGTAATTATTTTTTACAAGAAACTAAAGATTAAAACAATCACATTTAAGAGGTAAAGACACGTATTTAAATTGCAGCAATGAAATGTAGGAAAACACAACATATCTCACAAAAACCGTTAATTGATATCTATATTTAAAACATATGATTTATTGCTTATTTCACACAGAGTCAGAAGTTTCTTGTTGTTTGTGTGACAACTAATGTGCCTCGACACAGAGTTTGGAAAGCTCTGCTCTATACTAAGAGAGGAATTTAGGGCTATAAAAAGATATTTCACTCAAGGCAGTGGGAAACCTCTTCTGAACAAATTTTACCAAAAGTCCAGTGATGAGTTTGTCTTATTTATTTAAGGGTCGCCATAGATGAGAACTTGAAGGCACAAAACAGTAGCCACTAAAAGAATGAGAAAGGGTTTTGGGAAGCTCCTGGAAAGCTAGTAAACAAGTGCTGCATGAGGCAGAAAGGTAGAATTAAGCCCACCCCTGTTGTTATATAAACATGAAACATCTGGGATCACAGAAGCAAACGTATCTGTCAGCCAGTTCCCCACTTTTTACCTTGATATTCTGGGATATAGGGCTGTGTGGAAGGGCACTATATTATTGCTGTTTGATACCACTATGGTTCAATCTTATGGAATCCAGGGATCTGCAGCTGGGCGAGACACTAGTCCTCCTTGGCAGAGAAGGCATTGTAAAACCACAACTGCCAGGATCCCATGGCTCTGAGACATGTCAGGGAAAGTGGGGAGCATCCAAATCAACTCTCTTGTATCCTAATTAACAAGACACTCTTTGCAAAAAGTCTTAAAACCCGCCCTGCCTGCACTGTTTTCCCCATTTTCTTCTGCAAAGCATGGTCCTAACTCAGATGGAAGTAAGGAAGAAATCTGAACAGGACTCCTTTCCTAGCTGTTGCAAATGGGAAGTTTACCCGCTCAGAGTTGAAGGAACAGCTTTTCTGGGTGCAGATGGAGAAAGAGATGGGGAGCTTCCGGGTCCAAAGGTACTAAAGGAAGCCCGAGGGAAGAAAAAAAGGCTGGCAGAAGAGGACAAGAATTGCATGGAAAGTTACCACATTGCTAAGTGAAAGTTCACTTGAATGAACAGCAGGGACATCTAGTGGTCAGGATGCTCACAGTCAGCTGGCAGGAACAGCCTCAGTTGCCAGCTACACTGTAGAATTAATGCAGCTTGATCCTACTTTAACTGCCTGGCCTCAATGTTATGGAATCATGGAAGTTGGAGTTTGGCACTTTGGCAGAAGGTTCTTGTAAAACTACAACCCCCACATTTCCATAGCATTGAGTTGTGGCAGTTAAAGTGATGTCAAACTGAGTTAATTCTACATCGTAGATGCACCCCCAGTCTTATTTTGATTGACTGAACCAAAATATGGGAAATCCTAAACTATTTCATTGCCTTTATCGTGTGAAGTTCTGTAAAACACAATATATCAATTGTAGCCGTATTAATGGTTTTAATCATTCCTTTTAAAATAGCACAAGGTTTCATTCTGTTTTATATTTTGGGTTTTAATATGAATATTCGTGGTTTTAATGCTTCATTTTAAAATAGCACTAGGTTTCATTCTGTTTTATAGTCTTTTGTGTATGGGGTTATTATGGTTTAATATGTTTAATGGCTTTAAATGTTATTTGTATGCTTATTAGTTCTAGTGATTTTATGTTATATTTTTATATGATTTGTATATTGAGGCATTGAATTTTTGCTTAGATGTATGTTGTACGCCGCTCTGAGTCCCCTGAGGGGTGAGAAGAACGGGATATAAATAATAAATAAACAAACAAATAAATATATTGTAATGGTTTTACTGCGGTTCACCACTTTGAACCCCCCCCCCCAAATAATAATAATAATATTCCACTAATATTTTAACTGCTGTGGGTCTGTACTATGAAATCCTTTGGTTTTGCAGTTTATGCAGAATTAAATGTGTAACTGGGTTGCTGTGAGTTTTCTGGGATGTATGGCCATGTTCCAGAAGCATTCTCTCCTGACAATTCACCCACATTTATGACAGAGGTTGTGAGATTTGTTGGAATAAAGAGGAACACAAAAAAAAGGAAACAATAAGGGCCAGCTAACACCTCCCAACAAAGGATTCCCCCCAAGCAGGAAGCAGCCAGGCTTTGAAACTGCAAGGCCATTAAATGCTAATCAAGGTGGTTTTTCAGTTTATGCAGAATTAAATGTGTAACTGGGTTGCTGTGAGTTTTCTGGGCTGTATGGCCATGTTTCAGAAGTATTATCTCCCGACATTTCGCCCACATCTATGGCAGGCATCCTCAGAGGTTGTGAAGTCTGTTGGAATAAAGAGAAACGCTTAAAAAAACAGGAGAATGCCAGACAGGAAACAATCTGGGCCAGCTAACACCTCCCAACAAATGATTCCCCCAAGCAGCAACCAGCCGGGCTTTGAAGCTGCAAGGCCATTAAATGCTAATCAAAGTGGGCAACTACAACATTTACACTTGCCTCAAACAGACAAGAGTTCTTTCTCCCACCCTGGACATTCCACAGACACAGACCTCACAACCTCTGCCATAGATGTGGGCGAAAAGTCAGGAGAGAATGCATCTGGAACATGGCCATACAGCCCGGAGAACTCATAACAACCCAATGACTTGGGCAACACAAACGTGTGACTCTCAGCCAAACTGCAAACCCCAGCATTCCATGGGATCCACCAATAGGAAGCCATGGTAGAATCACAACAGCGCAAAGCGACTCTATGTTTAAAAAGCGCCCTTAGAAGAAGCAATTTGGCTTGGATCCGCCTCCCGCGCATGCGCCTGAGAGCAGCGCAGTCTCACGCCGGCCTCTAGGTAGCGCTTCACTCCGGAGGCGGGTTGTCAAGCTGGTAGGCCGCGGGGCAGCGAGAGGGAGGGAGGGAGGGAGCGAAGGCAGGCTTCAATGTGACGCAACAGCTGGACGGACCCAACGTGTTCCGAAGGGGGGGGGGTGTTGTGATAGGATACAGCTGCTACTACTGCTCTTGCTGAGGCTGCGAAATTCAGGTACTGCCGGCCAGCCCTTTCGGAGGGAGGAGCGCGTGGCGCCCGGGCCTTCCGAACCTGCCTGGGAAGCGTCCGCGAGAGACCGCGCGCGAGGGCTGAGAGGGGGAGGCGCGCGCTTCGGCCTGAGGGGGCCGGGAGAGTCCATTCTTAGAAAGGGGGGGGGGTGGATGGATGGAGCAAGCAAAGTCAGGGGCGCTTTCAATGCATCGTTTAAAGGGGAGCAATACCTTGTCTTTCTTGCCCTCCGAAGGTTTGGCTCTGAGGAAAAAGAGGGAACACTCTTTATTCTTTAAGTTTGTAAGCGGCCAAAGGTTTTGGGACAGCAACTCCCGCAACGTTGGCTAAGCCAGAGATCCCAAGGCTCTAGGGGTGTGCCTACACTGTAGAATTAATGCGGTTGGACGCCGCTTTAATTGCCCAGTGGTTCAAAGCTGTGGAATCATATCAGTTGTGGTTTTACTATAACTTTATTCTTCTCTAGCAGAGAGGGCTGGTGCCTCACCAAACTGGAAATCTCATTATCCCACAGCATTATGTTGCTTTATAAAGGCCACACCTGAAAGTAGGGCCACTGTGCTGTTTATCCCAGTTGATGGAGGTATTGCAGCACTTGTGTGTGGCAAGAGATGAGGGAGAGGGCTCCATATTGTAGAGCCTTGGCTGTTAAAGTGGCATCAAACTTTTAAACATCTACATCAGTGGTTCTCAACCTGTGGGTCCCTTGATGTTTTGGCCTTCAACTCCCAGAAATCCTAACAGCTGGTAAATTGGCTGGGATTTCTGGGGGTTGTAGACCAAAACACCTGGGGACCCACAGGTTGAGAACTGCTGATCTACATGAAACTACTGGGTGAGGTCATCCAAAGTTTTGGAGTTCAATGCCATCTCTACACAAATGACACTCAATTCTACTACTTCTTTCCACCTAATTCCAAAGAAACCCCAGGATCCTGGACTAGTGCCTGGCAGCTGTGATGGACTAAATGAGGGCCAACAAACTGAAGCTTAATCCAGACAAGACTGAGGTCCTTCTGGTCATTTGCAAGGCCGTTCGGGATGGTTACCTGTGCTTGAGAGTGTTACATTTCCCCTGAAGACACTGGTCCACAGTCTGGGGGTCGTCCTGGACTCAACACTGACACTTGATGTTCAAATGTCAGCCGTGGCTGGGAGGACCTTTGCACAATTAAAGCTTGTGTGCCTGCTGTGACCGTACCTCGATAAGCCTGACTTGGCCATGGTGGTCCATGCCTTGGTTACATCCAGACTGTATTACTGTAACACTATGTGGGGCTGCCTTTGAAGATGGCCCGGAAACCTCAGGTTGGCAGCCAGGCTTCTAACTGGAGCTAATTGTAGGGAGCACACAACGTCCCTATTAAAGCAGCTACTCTGGATGCTGATAAGTTTCTGGTCCCTGTTCAAGGTGCAGGTTAGGGTTAGGGACCTACAAAACCCTAAATGGTTTGGGGCCCCACCTATCTTTGTGACTGTATCTCCCCCTATGAACCGGCGTGGGCTCTAAGATCCGCTGGGGAGGTCGTCCTCTCACTTCCACCACCGTCACAAGCACGGTTGGTGGGGATGAGGGAGAGGGCTTTCTTGGTGGTGGCCTCCCGACTTTGGAGCATCCTCCCCAGGGAGACTTGATTAGGCCCCCACACTGTCCTCCTCTCATAAGGACCTGAAAACCTGGGTGTTCCAACAAGCATTTGAGAATGACTAGTCCCTACTTATAAATGCCCAGTCCCTAGCCCGCCAGATACTCTGTTATCTGCACTTCTTTCAATCCCCTGGCCTTATACTATGCTGCTTTGCACTATCCCATACCTGGTCCGTTGTATAGCCTGATCATGCCCATCTTAGTATTTATGGCTATTGGTTTTCGTTGTGTATTGTCTTGAGTGATTTTTAAAGTTGCTCTTTTTATACCCTGGTGCTTTATTTATGTTTTATCTGATTGTTATGTTTTGCTATGTTTTATTTTCATCATATTTTTTGTTTTTAATTGATTGTTTTTGCTTTGATGTTTTTGCTTTGATTTTCTGTGGACATTTTGTCCCATGTGTAAGCAACACCAAGTTCCTTCGGGGAGATGGGAGGGCGGGCTATAAAAATAAAGTTATTATTATTATAAACTTTATTAATTCCATGATGTAGACAAACCCAGGTGTTTTGAACTTCCAACTTCAAGAATCCTCACATGCCTCAGCCAGTGAGTAGATAATTTGGGAGCCCCCTTCTGTTAGGGAAGATAACACAGCATAGAAATCCATCTCCTGTTTATTAATAGTAGAGAAACTAGCATTAACAAAAGGCTCAGCCTATCTATCTTATTTTTTGTAGTCTGTTCTTCCCAGGGCCTGGAAGCACCATAAGAATATAAAAGATATGCAATGGGGAGAGTCTTCACAATGGGCTGTGTGTAAGGAGAGCTTTTCCCAAATCCATTGAGTTAGGACTTGTGGGGAGGGGAGGAAAAAAAAGCCAGTGGGTATAATAAGTGTGTTTAGAAACTGAAGCCACTGCTCTGATTTCCCCCCATAAGATTCTGTGAGCAGTGCTGTGGATTGCTTTGTAGAGGGCACACCTGAAAATAGGCACCCTTGAAGTATTGCCGTAAAAGTTTGGAAAGTAATTGTGCTTTTTTATTACAGCTGAAGGAGGTGTTTAAGCACCTGCGTGTAGGAGGAAGGGGCTGACTCTCTTAGGTTTCTTTCCTGCAGCAGGAGTTTGAAAGAGGAAAATGTTTGCTGCATGTAACATATAGAATCTGGTAGACAAATATGGATGTGTGTTAAGGAATGGTGTAACTCTATACAGTTCCTCTGTGCAAGACGGAAAGCAAAGGGATTTCATATTGTTTCAGTTACTTCAACACTACTTCCTATCTAAATTTTTGTACTGAAGTTACTGGAGGAGGGAAAGGAAGGTGTGTCTGCAGTAGGAGGCAAAAAGAGACCTGTAAAACAGGGGTGTGTCTGGCTACACTTGAACCAGGGAAGAGCAGCAGCAATCTCTGAGCTTGTCCCACCAGACATGATGGCACCTGCTAGTGTTTCCGCTTTCCTGAAAGGGAATTACCATATTGATTCAAATCTAATTCTCACCATTTTGGGCTAAATTTCATCACCAAAATTAGGGTGCACATCAGATTTGAGTAATATCGTAATCTTATTGCTGAGTCAAAGCAAAGGTGCTTCACTGACTGCTATATAAAACATATATATAGTTGACCCTCTGTATTCACAGATTCTCAGTCCAAAGGTCCTTTGAAGTCAGCCATATGGCTGATATGGCCCTCAAAGGAAATAATTTTGGCACTCCTGAACAGCAGACACAGTGTAACGAAGACTTGGTCAGCTTTACTGATTCAGGAAACTTCTCTTGAATACGGTGTGCAGTTCCTTGAATTCTCCCATGAGAGGTTGGGCTTCAATTATGTTTATTCTTTTGTTTGATAAGTAGATCACTTCTCAAAGGCAGCAATGTACCCTGTAATGATTACCTGCCCTCCTCTCAGGACTCTTTCCAGTCCTAAAATCATAGAACAGCCTTCTCAACACTTCCTTGATTGTCAAATGTTTGTTATAAAGCTGTTGGGATCTTCTGAAGCCCTCCTTATCTTGCCTATGTTCCACTAGGGTCAATATCTCCTTGCTTTCCTCATGAGGCTGCTGGAGCTGCCACTTGGTTTCAGACACTGGTATTTCCCGCTCCAAGTTGTGTGGCACCTCTCAGCAGCTGGCACTTACACCCGCTCTTCCCCTTTGCTGTCCGAGGGCCCTGTATCCCAGATTCTGATTCCAGGTTTTCTGCTTTATACTGGATTATATGAGTCCACATTGCCAGATGTTGTTGTTTATTTGTTCAGTCGCTTTCAACTCTTCGTGACCTCATGGACCAGCCCATGCCAGAGCTCCCTGTCAGCCGTGGCCACCCCCAGCTCCTTCAAGGTCAAGCCAGTCAATTCAAGGTTACCATCAATCCATCTTGCCCTTGGTCGGCAGTCTCTTCCTTTTTCCTTCCATTTTCCCCAGCATTATTGTCTTCTCCAAGCTTTCCTGTCTTCTCATTATGTGGTCAAATTACTTCATCTTTGCCTCTAATATCCTTCCCTCCAGTGAGCAGTCAGGCATTATTTCCTGAAGTATGGACTGATTTGATCATCTTGTGGTCCAAGGCAGTCTCAGAATTTTGCTCCAGCAGCACAGTTCAAAAGCATCTAGCTTCCTTCAGCCAGCCTTCCTTATGGTCCAGCGCACTGCCAGATAATCTGAGATAAACAGAAAACTTGGGATCACTGGGTTGTTGTAGGTTTTTTGGGCTATATTGCCATGTTCTAGAAGCATTTTCTCCTGATGTTTCACCTGCATCTATGGCAAGCATTCTCAGAGGTTGTGAGGTCTGTCTGGAAGCGTCCTGAGAGCAGGGCATGAGACTACCTGCGAAGAGCTGTCAAGGAACTTCTGATCATGAATCTTGCTAATTATATCAGGATGATTTTTTTCAAATAGAGTTTTTGGGCCAGTCTCAGTTTCTGTTAGAAGTGCAGAGTCAGGCCATGCTGTTTGTCAACCATGCGCTGTTACCTGTTGTCCTCTGTGTGGGTCCCTCTGTGGCATTATCTAATGGTGCTGAAAGAGCTCAAGTAGTATCACTTTGTGCGTGTTCTCTGTTAATGGGTTTTCATCTTGGTTTACTCGAGTTCTGTTGCAGTAGTGCATTTTTTTATTTTTCCTTTATTTTTTGTTAATTATTTGACACAATCTCATATACAATCAGAAAATATACATTCAGAAATAATGGAACATGTCTAGATCTGTATGCAGATGGCTACTTGTACAAAATAAGTATAATATACTTTACCATTCACTCGCGTTTAAGACATTTTCAAAGGAAAATCCATGTAAACTATTCCTAACTAGAACTGCTTCCATCTAGATATCAGCAATAGTGTCACCAGCTACCTCTCCCCCCCCCCCCAATATCAAATGCAAAATAAAATAAAATTAAAAAATCCCAATGTATCTTTTTTTTGGGAAATTCCTTACAAGGCAAGAAATACATCTTAAATATATCTTCATGATCAAGAGAGTTTCAAGAGTATGTCCTAATACATCCTGATATCACATCAATAAAAAAACATAAGAATAGGAGCAGGTAACAAAGTACACTCTTACGACTCGAGCTTTCTGACTATTTTTTTAAAAAATAAAAAACAGTAGTGCATTTTTCTAGCTGCCCTTCCATGGTTCAGTTTTGTAAGTACAGACAGGTGATCGCTGAGCACCTCCTTGGCTTACTTTCCATGAACTTACTTTCCATTATTGTGCATTTTAAAACTGTGAGTCTTTTGCTCTATGAGTAAGACACCCGATGATGGCCCCAATAATGGAAAAAACAGAGTTTCCTGGCAATGTTCAAAACCAAATTCAAGCTACCCTCTTTTAGTGAATCTGTGTGGGAAACTGAAACACCCATCCGCAGCAGACTAGACACTGGAACTTGTTGGGTAGGAATGATAGGAGTTGTAATAATATGCATCTGAGGAGTTTGACCCCTGAAAAAGTTCTATATGTCAAAAATTCAGCAAAACAAGCAAGAACGCTTTTTTGATAATTTATGGTAATTCAGCCCTCAAAATAATCCTGGTAGTTTTCATGGTGCGGTTCTCAACTGATTGAAAGACATCTATATCACTTCTGTATGGGAACAAGAACATTCTATCAAGTTATCTTAGCAAATAAGCGCTGTGGGCTTCTCTGCATGTATCTTTGTGCTGTTGGACCACTTGGATGGTAGGATTTGGCAAGTTCATCCCAGGCAAATGGCTAATTATAAGAATGCATTTAACATCTGATTTGAGCCAGAAATGCCATCTTGTGGTTTATTCCTCAGATAAATACTTTTTGGAGGAAAGGAAAATTCTATTTCTGTGATAGAAACAATTCTGTTGTTTTTGTTTTTTTTCCCCTTTCCTGTGGTTGATTCAATTCTTTTGATTCATTGAAATACATCAAGCTGATAGCTTCCATAGCACCTGAACATAACGTTCCATTAGCAAAGTCAGCTCAAGGGCATGGTTTTTCTGGGCTCCACATTAGCTCCTAGCCTAGGTGCTTACTTAAGACACCCCTGGGTATTGGACACTGAATCATGTTTTCTTCTTTTTCTTCTTCCATTAAGAGGAAAATAAGCATTTGCTCTTTCCTTTGCAAGCAGTTTTCTGCTTGGGTTCCTGAGCTTTGTGCCCTAGGGTGTGACTACGTGCCTTCCCATCATCTTGAAAGGTGAAATTTATTTCAAAGCCAAAAAGTTACCAATGTATTTTGTTGAATAAGCTGTGGCCTCTGCAATTTGCAGGTTGAATCAAATTGTTTCTTTCCTCCCCTTTTGCAAGACCCAGCTATATTTATAAATGGGCAAAGCAAGTGAACCTAGCAAAGCATTTTGCCTTTGTAATTCCAGTGGGATGATATAAAAAAATCGTGTTCCAAGGTTGGAGTTGTAATATACTGAAGTTTTACCTTTGGAGATGGGGAAAAGTCTGGAGATTCAAGAGACACAGGAGGGTAAAAATATGACCAAACAGGGTTTGACATTAGTAATCTGAGCATCAGTAAAGATGCATATAGTCTGTTCTCCTCAAAAGGTGTTTTGGACCTACAACTCTCAGAAACTCCAGCTAGCATGGTCAATGCTCATGGCCTCTTGAATTAGGGTTTGAAAACATTTGGAGGACAGGCCGTGGTAGCGGCTACCTCTTTTTATTATTGTGTGCCTTCAAGTCATTTCCAATTTAGGTTGACTCTAAGATAAACCTGTCATGGGGCGTTCTTGGCAAGATTTTTCAGAGAGGGCTTGCCTTTGCCTTCCTCTGAGTCTGAGAATGTGACTATGGGCTTCCATAACCAAGCAGGGATTTGCTGCCCTGTGCATAGCCCCCTTAATTTTCAAAGTAGTCTTTAAAAAAGGTAAAGGCTTCCCCTGACATTAAGTCTAGTCGTGTCTGACGCTGGGGGGTGGTGCTCATCTCCATTTCTAAACCAAAGAGCCGGTGTTGTCCGTAGACACTTCCAAGGTCATGTGGCCAGCATGACTGCATGGAGCGCTGTTACCATCTCACGGGAGTTGTACCTATTAATCTACTCACATTTGCATGTTTTCAAACTGCTAGGTTGACAGGAGCTGGGCTAACAGTGGGAGCTCACCCCGCTACCCGCATTCGAACCTCCAACCTTTTGGTCTGCAAGTTCAGCAGCTCAGCTCAGTTGCGCAACTAGGGGGCCTTGTACTGCTTCATAATCCCTCTGATTCTTTCTGGTGGACTTTTCCCACTGCCATGGCAGCCCTTCTCAAGCTCCATGTGATCGTAGTGGTTCTATGTATTGTCAAAGGCTTTCATGGCCGGAATCACGGGTTTTTGTAGGTTTTTTCGGGCTATATGGCCATGCTCTAGAAGCATTCTCTCCTGACGTTTTGCTTACATCTATGGCAAGCATCCTCAGAGATAGTGAGGTCTGTTGGAACTAGGAAAAAGGGTTTATATATCTGTGGAATGACCAGGGTGGGACAAAGGACTCATGTCTGCTGGAACTAGGTGTGAATGTTTCAACTGACCACCTTGATTAGCATTTGATGGCCTGGCAGTGCCTGGGGCAATCTTTTGTTGAGAGGCGATTAGATGTCCCAGATTGTTTCCTCTCTGTTGTTTTGCTGTTGTAATTTTGAGGTTCTCTTTCTCAACTTTTTTTCAGAAAAGATGACTACGACTTTGATCCGCAACAGGCTGGGGCTGCTCGTCCTTGGAGTCCTCGTCACCTTTGTCCTCTACCTCTTGCTTCCTGCTATTCAACATGAAAGATTTACTGCTTCTGTTGACATCCCCAAGCCACGGGCTATGGAAGAAGAGACAAGGAAAAGTCAAGGCCCTGGCAACGCCACCATCTTGACAGGCAGAGTCCTGCAAGATCCATCTGTTTTCTTTAGAGAAACTGTACCAGTACATAAAGACGGGGTTCCTTATTCTGAAAGGTAAAGTGCCCTCTTGATTCTAGACCTTAATTAGCTAAGTAAGCAATGTCATTAACTTGGGTCATGTCACTAGTGAATCTTAATATAACAAGTCAGCAACACTGATTGTGAGAAACAAACGAAGCATTGGCAAATTGTTCTTCCCATGATCCAATAGCACCAAGGCAGAATCTAATGGATCAAGAGGCTATGTTGTTGCGGAGTCAAATGACATATCTTGTCAGTGGGATTCACTGAATGTTCTTTATTAAATGAGCATGGCTGTTACTTAAGTCATTTTTGAATTAAAACCATCCTGGTAGTATCTTTCCTTATTTTTACCCTAGTTTGTAAAAATAAATTCTTCAGCTATTGATTTATTATGCCCCAGCAGCAGTTGAACCTCTCTTGTTAAAATGATTTCTTTGGTCTTAAAGAGGTCAGAAGTGTTTTATCTGTTCTGCTTTTTGTCACCTCTGGGTGGCGAGCTGCATCAGTTACTGTAGTTAACTAGACTACACTTGGTCCCAGGCCAGCTGCTCCAGAGTTATAGATTCTTTCTGACAAAATGCAGAAAACTTAAATACAACAGGCTTCTGGGTTGTTGTAGGTTTTTTCGGGCTATATGGCCATGTTCTAGAGGCATTCTCTCCTGACGTTTTGCCTGCATCTATGGCAAGCATCCTCAGAGGTAGTGAGGTCTGTTGGAACTAGGAAAAGGGGTTAACAGTTTCTCCCCGTAGAGATGTCCAGTGTATTGTCGAAGGCTTTCATGGCCGGAATCACTGGGTTGTTGTAGGTTTCTGTTAAGTGGGTTTTGTTGATGTCTCTTTTGTGTTTATTGTATTGACCTGTGGACTTTTCAGACAATAAGTTTCTTAGGAAAGAGATATAGTCTCTATTCAGTTGTTGCAAGAGACTCAGAGAAGCAGATGTTTAAACTTTGACTCCCAGAAGACACAGCCACCATGGCTAATGTTCAGGGATTCTGGAAATTGAGGTCCAGAGGTTCTGGATAACTTGACGTTCCTCACAACAGTTCTGCTCTCTATCTCCCCATGAGTATTGGTGTAAATGCACACACTCACTGTCAAACACACGCCATTTCTGGCTGTGATTTAGGTTTTAATGCTTTCATAATAAGAAGAGGAAATTAGTTTTAGCTTGCCTATCAAGAAGTCCTAGCATTTCTCCAAATATTGTGTTTTCTTAGGATGGCAGTGATTTTTCTGCACGGACAGACCTTTACTTCCAAAATATGGGAAGAATTGGGGACTCTGGCTTTGCTTTCTGTGAATGGATATCGTGCAGTAGCTATTGATTTGCCAGGTAAGTATGAGCAGCAGTCTTATCTATGTTGACTTCCATCTATTCACTCTGAGCTCTTTGTGCTTTTGTGCTATGATAGTCAAAAGTTAGTTCATGAAAATATTGTGTTTCCCACTGCATAACTGGAAGGTAATCAAGTAATTGGCAATGAGCAAGGGTGGTTTCTTCCAGTGTGCCACATTCTTTGAATGTCAAAAGAAAAACAGTTGGGGAATCTGAGCTGTTAGGCTCAAAACAACCCTCAATTGGGGTGATTCCACCATAAATACAGCAGAGTACCAGAAGTAAACTTCATAACAAGCAGAGACTTACATGTGGTGAGCTGGGATAAGCTTCTATTCCTTAGGATGGCACGGGATTGCAGAGTCAGAACTTTAGGTTCAAAAATATTTATTGAAGTAAAAAGAAATACATTCTTGATAAGAAAGGTCTTGGAAATAACTAGCTTACCTAAATCTCATATTTTAAAGAGGTAAAAAGGGTAACAAGTTCACGCATCTGCATTTTGCCAAGAGAGATGGTTCTACATCAGAATGTAGTCTTTATTGTTGTGTCTAATCCAAGTATGGGCAAACCCAGGCCAGATGCGGCTCCTTGGGCTCATTTCTCGGGCCTTCTTCACTCTCACCATCCTATCCTGACTTTCTGCTGCTCTAGAGACCAGGGCAAAAGGGAGCAATGGTTTCAAGTGGCAGGGAAAGAGATTGGACTGACAAGATTAGGAAGAACTTCCTGAGAGTAAGAGCAACTGGAAAGGGGCATAGGCTGCCTTGGAGTGCAGTAGAGTCTCCTTCTCTGGAGGCTCTTCTGCAAAGGCTGGCTATCGGGAGTGCTTTGATTGTGCCTTCTTGCATGGCAGGGGGTTGGAGTGGATGGCCCTTGGGGGGTCTCTTCCAGCTCTAGGATTATATATCAGGAGTAGGCAATACAGGATATAATTAATACACTTTTTCTCACCTGTCCACTATCTCATCAAATGTTTCCCATCTTTCCTTCACTTTCTACCTCCGAAAGAGAAGAAGGAGGGGAGGAAAGGGCAGGAGGGGACTTGGGGAGAACCCCCTCCCTCTTGGCCCCCCACTCCTCTCCAGGCCACCATGCGGCCCCCAAGTTAGAAAGTTTGCCCATGTCTGGTCTAATCCCTAATCTTTCTCAACAGGCTATGGAGACTCTCCGAAATCCAGTGCTTCTGAGACAGGACCAGGCCGTGTTGCTTTCTTGAAACAAGTCTTCAAGGAGCTGGGCCTTCAGAAGCCTGTATTGATAAGTTCCTCAGTGAGCGGCCGCTATTCCATTCCATTTCTCCTGAGTAGTGGGGATCAGCTAAGGGGCTTTGTGCCTATTGCACCAGTGGTCAGCAAGGAGTTCACTGCTCAGCAGTTTCAGCAGGTCAAGGTAAGGGGACAGAGGAGGAGGAGTGGGATGGTGCCACCTCTCTGTGACTGTAGCCTATAATTCTTTAATTACGGATGGCAGAGTGACTGTGTGAGTCAATCTGTGGGCCTGACAGATGCCCTTGCTCACAGGTGCACCTGTAGATAGAATCTGTATGGAACAAATGCATAGCAGGTGCTTGTCTTCCTTCACATGAAATCTAGAGCCCTTGGAATATTGAACTTTACTAATCCTTTCCTCTTTGAACCAAACAAAAGGAGCATAGTGGCAATAAGACAGAAACTAGAGAAAACAAAGCATCTAGTGACCTTAAACAGCTTCAAGTCTTTTATATCGCTTGGTTGCTTCCCCCTGGTCTCCCCCCGGACAATCATAATCTTTATAACTTCCTCAATCCATCCTTTTTCTGTTTTATATGCTATAGTTTTACTTTATTGTATTGCACCGTGTGTTTATTTTATGTTTTGTTTTAGCCACTTTGTGCCATTTGTAAGCTGCCCAGAGTCCTCTTGGGGAGATCTTTGCAGTCACATCTCTTCGCGATCGCATCTCCATCTATGAACAGGCACGAACCCCAAGATCTTCCGGGGAGGCCCTCCTTTTGCTCCCACCACCATCACAAGTACAGTTGGTGGGGACAAGAGAGAGGACCTTCTTGGTGGTGCCCCCCCACTTCTGGAACGCCCTTCCAAAGGAAATAAGATAGGCCCCATCCCTCCCCTCCTTTCGTAAGAGCTTGAAGACCTGGTGGTTTTAACAAGCCTTTGAGAATGACCAGTTCTAGCTCAGCCCCAAACATTGTTGAATATGGCCTTATAGGTAAAGGTAAAGGTAGTCTTATACTTCCTATCTATTACCCTGGTCATCCCTCTAATAGGCCCTGGAAATGAGCAGCCTTACCTGCTATTGCTGTTAGCCTGTTATAGCACTGTACTTAATTATCAGTCCCCTCATATTTTGAGTTTGCACTAGCCTCAACCCGGCCTTTTAATTGCTCTGAATAGGCAGGATTTTTTTAAATATATATGTGTTATTGTGATAATTTTATGCTTATGTTGTTTTGTTAATTTTATGTCAGACTGTTTACTCTGTATGTTTTGGTGATGCTACTTGGAAACCGCCGTTAGTCACCCTCAGGGAGATAGAACGGTATATAAATAAAGTATTATTATTATTATTATTATTATTGTTGTTGTTGTTGTTGTTGTTATTATTATGGTGGGGTACAAGAATAAAGTTATTAATACCTTTTCCACAAAAGTGCATGGTGCAAATGGGGAGTTGGTTCTTTATCCACACTCCTTGGTTTATTACTAAACTGTTCTTTTTGATCTTTTTAGACTCCTACTTTGATCATCTATGGAGAACATGACAATGGCCTGGGCAGGCAGTCTCTTCCGAGCCTTCAGCAGATCCCCAAATCTAAAGTCGTCATGCTGCCTGAAGCTGGCCACGCGTGTTACCTTGATCAGCCTAAGGAGTTCCACAAAGCTCTCCTAAACTTCCTCAGTGAGCTAAAATGACTGTGATGTCCTAACCTGTCCTGCCTTCTTCTCCCTGAGAAAGACTTGGGACTGAATTTCTGCCATGTAACCGGGGTACAGTGTGTTTGAATTTGTTTCTCCGTGTCTAAAAGGGCTTATAGGTCTCATAGACTCTTGATGGGAAGACCTTCTCACTGCTTGTTCTCGGGGCTGCATTTGTTGTGTCTACTTCAGGCCTGACTTTCTGAATTTTGCAATCTGGCAGCAATATTGGATCAAGTGTGTATGGAGTAAGGAACAGCATCTTTTCCAATCTATTTATTGCAACAGGGCCTGGAGGACTTGAGTTGCACATTGCTGACAGCCCTTTGCCCCTTTTGGATTTGTCTTTTCTGAGCTGATCCCTCTGGATGAAGATGCAACTTCAACTCGAGTATGTTTTTTCAGGAGCACAATCCACTGATGTTAATGCCATGGCAGCACATTTTCATTGTTTCCTGACTCCTTTTTTAAGTTTAAACAGATATACAAATACACAAACAGATTATCTTTATTTATACATTTTAAAGATAAATTTTAAAGATTTTTTAGAGATACAATACAAAATGAATCTGTAATAAGTAAAAAGGAGGCAGGGGGAAGAAAAAGTAACATGGAAACGGGACATGATAAAGGTCAAAGACAAAGTAATCCTCTTCAATGCACATGTCTGAGCAGAATCTAGCATCTTTTGGATCCACAAACCTATCAGGTTGCTACTGTGTTTTACACTTGGAAGCAGTGTCTTTATGTCTTGTAATCCACTGGCAAAACTGACTTCAGAATTCGTTCCCAGGAGGGAGAAAATGGCAGGTCTATAAACAAGGGAAGTACCCGTATTCCTTGGAGATTTGGGGGTTTGCTCCACATTATAGTAATGCCTTGGGGGCTCCAGCTGTAAGAAATGGGTTGTATGTTGGTATTTTATTTTGTTAGCAGATGTTAAATGGCTCTTGCCCAAGAAAGGTATAAGAAGGCACCAGGCTTTCCAGGGAATGCAGTCCATGTTGCAATAGCGGGTGGTTGCTCCTGTCCACTAGGTAATAAGCTATCTATTTTTTGTGTGTTGCAAAACTGTTGAAGAGTCAATAAATAATTTGTACAGATCTTGTGGAGTGTGTGTTCATATATATATGCTTGTGAGATTGAGGAAAGAGCTGGGAGGCCTTTACTATGAAGATACAAAAGTACTTGCTTGCCAGCTGTCATGAAGATATTTCTGACTGTTGGACTGAGCTTCCTTTCTGGTCATCTGTGTGGACAAATACGTTTTGATCTGTTTCTAGATCTGTCAATGTGTCCAATCTCACCAAGATACTGCTCAACCTGTGAAGACTATTTTAACATTGAGATCAGGGCTGAAATCCTGCTAGCATGTATTAGAGTAGACTCATGAAATCAGTGGGGTTTATTTAAATCTTGACTAATCATTCAACAGTTGATTCAACAGGCCTACTCTAGTGAAGACTAACCAACAGAATTTAGGCCTAGGTAGCTAACCTGTTATCTAGAGAACTATCATAGCATAGTGCAGGGGTCCTCAAACTAAGGCCCGGGGGGCCAGATACGGCCCTCCAAGGTCATTTACCCGGCCCTCGCTTAGGGTCAACCTAAGTCTGAGATGACTTGAAAGCACACAACAACAACCCTATCTCATCAGCCAAAAGCAGGCCCACACTTCCCATTGAAATACTAATAAGTTTGTATTTGTTAAAATTGTTCTTCATTTTAATTGTTGTATTGTTTTTAGGTGTTTTCTGCACTACAAATAAGATATGTGCAGTGTGCATAGGAATTCATTCATGTTTTGTTTTTTTTCAAATTATATTCCAACCCTCCAACAGTTTGAGGACCTGGCCCTCTGTTTAAAAAGTTTGAGGACCCCTGGCATAGTGGTTTCAATGTTGGACTTCAGTTCTGGAGATCAGGATTCATTTAGTTTCTTGCTCTGATATGAAAACTCCATTGATTTCCCTAGATAAGTCACATTCTCTCCTCTCCAGAAAACCCTACGATAGGCTTACCTTAGCATTGGCATAAGTCAGAAACAGCCTGAAGGTGCACAACAGCACCTACCTGTGGGGAAATACATGAAAGTACCTGATACAGTGGATCCAACTAAAATAAGACCTTTTTGTGGTTCTTGAGCATTACTACTTGGCACCTGTCCGCAATGTTCTTCCCACCCCTAGTCTTGCAAATATGCCCTCCATTTTAACTACATTCATCTTTAAATATTTCCAGGTAATGGCCTCTCTGTTGTTATTTGCTCACTGAATAGTTCAGGCTCCACTTTTAAAAAACTTATCTGAATAGTCTGGCATGAGGTATCATCTTTTCTTCCTTGAGCTTCTTCTTTGACTTAAGGATTTAATTAGCTCACTCACCTGAACAAGGTGTGAGGTATTTTGGAGTTGAGCAGAGATCTCAAGTAGGGTGTGAGAGCTTTGTGGATGAGTTGTTATGGTGAAGGCAATGGTTTGTTTGGAAAAGTAAGTAATTTTAAGGATGAAATTGGAGAATTTTTGCTATGAAAGCATAATACAGATTTAAGAGAATTACAGAAATGTAGCTTTCTTCTTGCTTGCAGTTCTCTTGGTGATTTGTGCAGGCATTATTGATGTAAATACTTTTTTCTCAGTGTCTTCACAGAGCTTTCTCAGTGGCAGTTGAATATCACAGGGGAGAGGGAAACTTTGGGAGAGTTGTTCAAACTTTTGCTCGACATGTAGCCCTCCCAGATGTCCAGTGTAAATATGTAGGTGAAGGTCAAATTGAATCTCTGCTCTTTATCTTTCTCTCTCTCAAAATAACTCCAGAAAAAGGATGAGATCTGCACCAAGGATGGGCAAAGTGTAGTTGTCAACACGTTGCTGAACTACAACTCCCAGCCCTCTGACGTCTGTTCCCATTTGAGTGGTGTTTGTGTGTGTTTTCTTATAGCCTCTTATTCAGTTTTTACAGATGTGCATTTTTGTTTGTGGTGCTAATGCTCAGACATGAGAAAGGACACTGATGGATGTTTCTGGGTTTTTGGGTAATGAGGAAATTCTCTTCTACTATCAAATGAATTAGTTAGCTGGACTCTTAGGTTTGGGAAGTCTCCTTACAGGATGCCATCGAAGAAAATTGCCTTATGCTTAAAATTTCAACATGAGAAACAGTAGAGATAAAACGAGGTAGTGATGCCAAGATCCAAAGTGATGCAAAGTCCACAAGAGGTTTAAATGGTACAGTGCGCAAGGTAATTATTAAAGGATTAGATGGCAATAATTATTTTAAGACAACACCAGATTATGAAAACCCCAACATTTTATTTTCTGTCAAAGGTGAATGAAGAATAATCTTTTTTTTCACTTCTATTTCCAACTCATCTTCCAGTCTCACATAATGGAGAACACAGGCAGTCCCCGTGTTTCAAACAAAATAGGTTCTGTAGTTGAATTTGTATGTAAGTCGGAACAGGTACAATTTTTAAGTGTAACTCCATCCAAAAATATATACTTTTAAGCTTTGGATAGTATAGGGAAGGGTTAACACCCCTGTAGAGTATGTTTTGCTGTCTGTGCCCCTGTTCAGAATATTTCACCTCACTTTCTATCACTCTAATAATTGGATTTTGAAAAATTTGCCTCGTGGAAACAAGGATTGATGATAAAGCTTCAGTTGAGACCCCTTCTTCCCATGGTAACTCTTTCAGGAGTGAATTTCTCTTCCTGAGGGTAGATTTCTCTCATACTCCCATTTTTAAATAAGAGTAGTTTGTAAGTTGGATGTTTGTAACCCATGGACTGCATGTACTGGGATTTGTGCAAAATGTGGTTTGAGAAGGCCACGAATCTCTGATCTAGATGCAACCATGACAGCTCAACTAGTATAAAATCAATAAAAGTTTTCATTGTCTATCACTATAAAAGTTACTATAGTATTCCAAACATTGCCACTGCTGAGGCGCAAGTGTCCAAATGTAGAAATTTATTTATTTGTTTGTTTATTTATTTATTTAGAATAGCAACTAGGACAGGCATTCAGGGACAAAAATGTCTTTAGTTTGCCTGCACAGAGTCTCACAAACTTTCAAAGCAATTGAATGGAATTTAGCAATGAATAACATCTCACTAACGTCAGTTATTGCTTTCTTAGATCATGAAATTACTTTCACCAATTCTACTTACACCAGATTCAGTGATATGCATAGGCGCCAGTGACTGCAAACTGAGCCTTTGTCTCCTTTTGTGATTAACATATTCACCAAACATCTTTACAATTTTATCATTTCCCAAAAGCTAGAAACAAGGTGTCTCTTTACATCAAAGGCCTGAATAGATCAGTATGCCTTTTATACTCTTCCACTCTGTACTGACACTTTGGGCTCTCAAGGACTTACTCTCCCAATGAATATAAACAGCATAATCTAATTAAAAGCATAATAAAGCTATCCTTTAAAATAAAAATCAAGCACGAATGGAACAATCAAGGTGCAGCTGAAACTGGATAATGGCAGATGCACTGGCTTGCTACAGTGAAATGTGCAGAACAAAATCAGATTTACTGAATGAGGGGTGGCACTTTGAAATACGTGATATTGTACTATAATTTGAATGGAGTATATAACCAAAAGCAGCAAATATGACTTTCCAATTGACAAAGATATTTATTTTACTTTGAATTTTTTGGAATGTGACTAGTAAAAGAGAAATTATTGAAAAGAAGGCGATAAGACAAGTATTGACATGTTGTATTCAATGTCAATACTGTGAGTACTTAAGAAGACATGGGCACTTGCCCACTGTAATATTGTATTATATCAAGAGCTATGTAAATATGTGTTGTTGAAGGCCTTGATGGCGGGAATCACAGGGTTGCTGTGAGTTTTCCAGGCTGTATGGCCATGTTCCAGAAGCATTATCTGCTGACATTTCGTCCACATCTATGGCAGACATCCTCAGAAGTTGTGTGGTGTGTTGGAAACTAGGCAAGTGCTGTTTATATATCTGTGGAATGTCCAAGGTGAGGGAAATAACTCTCTTCTGTTTGAGGCAAATGAGAATTTTGCAATTGGCCACCTTGATTAGCATTTAATGGCCTTGCAGAATCAAAGTCGGCTGCTTCCTGCCTGGGGGGATTTGACAACCAGTCTGGACATTCCACAGATATATAAACCCCACTTGCCTAGTTTCCAACAGACCTCACAACCTCTGAGGATGCCTGCCATAGATGTGGGCGAAATGTCAGGAGATAATGCTTCTGGAACATGGCCATACAGCCTGGAAAACTCACAGCAATCTGCCATGTAAATAGTTTAAACAAAATTAGAATAGTCTTAACTTTTTCTGTACTGATAGCTTGTGGTACCTGCTTTGTCCTGTAGATGCACTGTTAGAGTACAGAATATATTTCTTAAGCAGCCAGTGCGTAAAATGCTCTTTTGCATTCTGCCTGCTGCTTCCAGTGTAACAAGGGTGCATGAAGTATGAATACTTGGCATTCTTCTCTCTTAAAAGTGTGCTGCATATGCTTGTTCTACTGATGTTTGGGGTATGCTGAACCTCTTGAAACCAGTGAGAAATGCAGATTAATGCCAACCTCAGAAGTTCAAAACCTTTTTGGCCTCCTCCAAGGGCCAAGTTGGCAGCTGGGTGCACAGGATTTTCTTGCAATGCATATACTCAGGCTTGTCACAGCCAGTGCAAGTAGATGCTTACAATTCAAGGCACATTTGCAGCCAGTGCTGCAGCACTGAATGAGGAGGACAGTGACCTCTGGTTCTGGGAAATACGACATTATCACAATAGAGAGTTTGGGAGGCTGCCTGGAAACTTAGCAAAAGCGAACATGGTGCAGGGCTGTTTCTTCCATGCATCAGGAGAGTGTTGGCAGAGCAACATTTCCCTGAAGGCTGCTCAATACAAACATGATTAAACTTGTTTATTAAAAGCCAGAAGGCATAGCTAGTCTATTTACTATAGCTATCATTGGGTTATGCTCATTTTTCTGTATACACTGTGGCTGCAGAGGTAATGTGTTTCTTCATGATGGGTCAGACTGGATGGCCCCTGTGGTCTTCCAACTTTGTGACTAATGCCTTATTTCAAGTTTGCTTTTAG